AACTAGCGCTGACCCATGGATAAGTCAACTCTGCGTTTTAAAATGAAGTTTACGACTAAAATGTCTCGACTTATACACAGGTATAAATGATAGTTTAAATTGATAAATATCTAGTCTATGACTCATGAGAAGAAAAACAACAAGCTTTTTTGAACAATGTTGATGGTGCCAAAGTTTCTTTCTTTTAAAGGTACCTCTAATTGGGCTGGTGACTACTTCAAAAGTACTGGCGGGGTTGGCTTCATCTTACAGGAACCACTTAATAACACTTTGAAAGGCAACAGTTTAAGGGAACAACTTCTGCAGGTTTTTCTCAGGGACTGGAAATCTGAATATGTAGCAGAGGTTTTCTAGACGAAACTATTTGTTGTTAATTTGTTATTGGTTTTGATTTTTTTGTTTGGCTTTGGCTTAATTTTGATTAGTCTGTGCTGTATTTTGGATTGTGCCATCATTGCTGAAAAGTTCTTTATAATGTCTGGTTTTACAGAGAGGGGGGGGGGGAATATTTTTAGAGATTTCACTAATTCACAAATAGGATTTTTTATTTTAATAGCAAAAACATTTTCCTATGTTTAAAAGTTCTTGGAATTTTAAACAAATGTTTTTTTAAAAGTTATATGAATGTTATAATATTGGCAGCATATTAAAACGGCAGCTTATTTCTGAAAGTATTCAATATTTTACATTTATCTACATGCAGATCTTGTTTTATAAGGCTAATTATTTAGTAAATGCAAAGTTTTTTTTTTTTTTTAAATAGAATCTTAACCTTACACATTTTGATGGAATAACTATATTTGTGTCTTATAAAAATTTTACATAATTTTTTAATAACATTTGCTTCATTTAGCCCTTAATTATTGTCAACCATTATGATCCATTTAGTCACCACTTTGGCTTGCGCCTTGAGGCAATGGTGGAAGATTGCAGGTCTTGTGCCCTTAATTAAGATGTGTTGGAAAATGGCAGGTCTTGTGCCCTGAGGCCATGGTGGAAAATTGAAGGTCTTGTGCCCTAAGATTATGGTGGAAAATTGCAGGTCTTGTGCCCTAGGGTTATGGTTGAAAATTGCAGGTCTTGTGCCCTGTGGCTATGGTGGAAAATTGCAGGTCTTGTGCCCTGTCACCATGATGGAAAACTTTTGTACCCTGAGGCCATGGTGGAAAATTGCAGGAATTGTGCCCTGAGGCCATGGTGGAAAATTGCAGGTCAAGGGCCCTTAGGACATGCTGGAAAATTGCAGATCTTTTGCATTTAGGACCTGCTGGAAAGTTGAAGGTCTAGTGCATCGGATCTTGTCAGTTTATTGTAATGGTATTGCACTTATAAGCTTATATTCAAGTTCCCTTTTTAATTTCTTAAATATATTGTAATGCATTTTATGCTCAATTTTTGTATTTTTAAATTTTGCTTTTACTAAGTTTTACACAACAATGCTTTTATTGATTTATCATGTAGTAAATGATTAAAGTGCCTTTCTTCTGTATAATCATGTTCATTCAGTTAAATAGTTATAGACTTCACTTTAAAATATTATTCATATAATCATAATCGTCTGTAATTTAATTTAATTTTAAAATTGACTAAAGGCGGCTTTATTTTCTTTATAAAATCTTTTACATTCTATTATTTAATAATGAATAAGTTTTGTTAATGTTAAATTATATTACTATTGAAATAAATGCTTCTAGTCTAAGTTTTTGATGTGCAGATTTTATATTTCTAAAATAGCTGGTCTATTAGGTTTATTGCAAGATTGTATATTTGCTTTAAATTTGAACTAACGGGTACGCTTGAGAATGAGCAAGACATCACTGCACTTACACTAACCAGTAATCTGATAGAGTTGCGCTGCTAGTAACTAGAAGGTTGTCAAAGTAGATTAACCAACTGATTCAATTAAGAAATTACAACATACAGATTATAATCCCCTGAAGATGACAAGCATTTCTGCAAAATGGATTGAAATGAATATGTGAGAAAAAGGCGGTGTCCCTGTTTGGTTGATTCCAGGGTGAATTTTTTCATTAAATATAAGCCAATGCTGGTTGTGCAGGAGTTACCATGCATTTCATCTGATGATATATTTGTGGTGTTTAATTCAAACAAAGTCATGTCTTGTAATGCATGCATTTCAACATTTTACAGGAATAATATTAAAGCACCATCATTAGGTATAAACTCACTTCTTTCCTCAAGGGTGCTAAATTTTTTTTCTGTAGTTGAGGGAGCGGAGGTATGGTTGTCTAAATCCTGGCCTGCTGGGAGGCCCTTCTTATAAATAATTATTAAGCACATATTTCCATTGCCCTCAGAATTTCCTGTCCAAATTAGGTACCTTCATATTTCATTACCATATTTTAGAACATTTAAAAAATTAAGTTAAGCGTAGAAAATTTTTAAACTTTTCATAACACAGGTATAATTTTTGTACATAATGTCTTTGTGATCTTCAGTTTTATTAATTATAATATCAACAACATTTTTCCATTGGCAATATTATTGGAATTTTTATTTATCAAACACGCCCCCCCCCTCCCCTTCCTTTTAAAAAAAAATAAAAAGTACTCACTTAAATCTCTTCCATTTTCTTTCATTAAATTTGTTAAAAAACGAATTCTGTGGGGAAAGGACCCCCACCCAGTTAATATAATAAATCATTTCAGCATTCGGAATGAGCGAATTTCACGATTCAATGAATAATTTTGATCTCAGCTATTACTTTAACAAAGAAAACAGACCTGTTTACTCATACGATTTTGGCGTACAATGGACGATTTTGAGGTGTATACATTATATATATACTGTATGTTTATTTTTTTACTATTAAGATAATGTATTGAACGATTTTGTGATGATATTGTACGATTTTGAGAGTTCGGGAGTAAACTACTCTGAGAAAAAAAAACACCATAATATCGCGGTACTTAATGTAATTTGTACAAGAAATAGGCAGTGCTACCATACCTTGGGAATTTTCCCCATTTATTGGTAATTCACCATCAACCTTGGGGGACTGGAAAATAATTTTGTAAAAAATTAAGGAATCAATGGGGGAATTTTAAGTCGGGACTTTTCAGAAAGGGGATGGGGAGAGAGATAGGTTTAATTGGTCTCGCCATCTAGGGGAAGATACTTTAGCAGTCAGTAGGTTTTCTATCCCCGGACCATTTTTAGTAAACAAAAGACTTCCTTGGAAATTTTTCCCATCCCGAGTAAACATCTTTGGAATGCGGTACAATTTTTTAATATTTTATTATTATTTATTTCAGAAGGTGACAGATTGTCATACATTGTCACTTATAGCCAAAACCTGTATAATCTAGTTCACTGCGCTGAATTACTAAGATCAGTAGCTCTAGTACACAGGTTCTCAAGCGTTTTTCAAGTCACAGCAACATTTATATAGAAGAAAAGTGCCATCACTCAAGATGTATTTGGCGGGGAGCTTTATAAGGTAAATTTTTGGAAAGGAAACAAATTTAAAACTCAATCTTCCAGTGTAATGTAATTGGTGACATGTTATTAAAATTAGTCAGTTATCTGCCATAAAAATCAAGGCAAAGAACGTAAAAAAAGAGTAATATGAATGTGAGAAGAATAACTTACTTGTTCGTGAGCTTTTCCCGTTGGGTGTGAGCAGAAGTAGAACTGACATGTGAGCAGATGCAGGGGGAGCTAACACGTGATCAGATGCAAGGGGAGCTAACACGTGATCAGATGTAAGGGGAGCTAACACGTGATCAGATGCAGGGGAGCTATCACGTGGGGATCTAACATAAAAACTGACCACTGTAAAGGGGTAAAAAGGGGAGAGACTGCAATCAGGTTAGTACAAAATAAAATGAGTAAAACAGAGTAGGGTTAAACCTGAAAAAATAAACGCAACAAAACAGCGAACGTGTCGGCAGAAAGCCTTCGTCTGCGAACAAAACAAGAGAAAAAACGGTATAAAAATAAGAAATAGCACTTAGCTGGTAAGTAATATCTGTGGGCAGCAATAGAAGTATCAGGGTTAAACCTGAAAAAATAAACGCAACAAAATAGCGAACGTGTCGGCAGAAAGCCTTCATCAGCGAACAAAACAACAGAAAAAACGGTATAAAAATAAAAATAAGAAATAGCACTTAGCACTCATTTTCCTTCTGCCATACTTCTATTACTGCCCACAGATACTACTTACCAGCTAAATGCTATTTCTTATTTTTATTTTTATACCGTTTTTTCTGTTGTTTTGTTGCGTTTATTTTTTCAGGTTTAACCGTACTCTGTTTTACTCATTTTATTTTGACCACTGTAAAGACGTGCGATGTCTAATTTATCCATGTGATTTGTGGGATTGTCATCAAAAAGTTACACGGGTAAGAGTTCAAAACACACAGAAAGTGCCATCAAAACAAAGACAAAAAATACCCTGATAAAACAAATCATAGCTTTTAAATATGTTTGGGATTTACTTGTCATTTTAGGCCTCTAAAAAATTATTTGTGCACGCCTAGAGTAGGTCTATAAGAGGAATCTGCATGGAAATGTATAACTTCATGGGGCTTGTTATTCTTGAGATCTCGTGACTAGTCAGTGAGTGGTATTTGGCTTATATTAATAATAATATTACAAGCCCTATATAGATTTTTAAAGTGCTAATTACAAAGAATTGAAAATTTCAAAGATGGAACGACCTGTAATTTTTAAAATGAAATGTGTAGCCGATATTTGCCACGTGTTACAGTTGAGTGTACAAATCTGTAGACCTAAAATTTCATTAAAAGTTTAAAAATTATAATAATAATAATAACAGTAATCAGGTTTGAACATTTTTCCACAAAGACTTGACTGGAAAATAAAATATTTTATATTTTTTAATCTGGGGAACTTTTAAGACCAAACCTGGGGAATTTTGAAAAATTTGAGTGGCAGTAATAGTTGTAGAGATGTAAACAAACAAAATGTTAATATCACAGTTCATGTTTAAAAACTTACACCCCCCCTCCCCCTCCATTTGAAAAAAGTACATCCGATATTCCAGCATAAATAAATATAAAAGAATAATAAATATATAATTAGGCCTATAATTCATCCAAATTGGTATTACATTTTTTTTCTTCAAAAGAATGGGCTAAATGGCTCACACAGACAGAAGAGTTCTCGGTGTTTCTAAACTTCAAAGCAAATAATTGTTTACTTTTGGACACCCATGGAGCGTAAATATGATTAAAAATATCCTGTTTCCTAGTGTAAGTAGGATGTGCTTTTTATATATGGTCATGCGCTTGTCATTTTTGTATTGTAACTTCAGATATTATTATTAAAATAAAGTTAATTTACATTATTATTATTAACACATGTCATTATTGCTGTTTAAGTTAAAAAAACTTTAATTTATGAAATAAAAAATTATTTTTTGACATGCCTTGGGCTTTGCCTTACTTACTAAGGCTAAGGCCTTACGTGATTATACTCATCATAGTCATACGTCAAACTATTACTATTAGATTAATACTTATTCTAGGGGACAACTCCTTCATTGCCATTTATTGGCCTTACATTTACATCATCATACTACGATCATACGTACCGTATAGTAAATAGTCATATTTTTTAATAGTTAAGTACCTAAAATGTCGCCCAAAATGAAATTATAGCTTTAACTTCAGAGCTAAATGTTGAGATAGGCCCTTACTTAACAAGCAAAAATATTGTCAGGATAGCCAATTTATGGCTGTAAGTAGGTCAATACTAAAGGAATTAATTAAATGTTAAAATTAATGAATCATTGAATGAATGATTGAAAATGCATATTTGATATTTGTTATCTTTAATTTTTACATTTATCAATTAATAATTTAAAAGATGGTCACTTGTGTCCAGTGAAAATCAATAGTTTTACTTTTAGGTATGTTTAGTCCTAACTCCTAACCAACAGTAAATGATAAATGAAAATGTCAACAAGCCTACATTACTAAGGAAGTAAATTGACAAAGTTAAAAATAAAAATGCATTATCAGAAGCAGTATCAATCACAATATGGTAAATGCTTGTATTTTAATTGGGAAACCAGATCAGGTAACTTTAAAAAAACAACATTATTTTTAAACAAAATTATAGTGGGAAAATATTCAAAAGTCTCAATGTAGGCAAATTATTAATATGATCAGATCAGTATCAGGATGATGATGATTTCTATTTCATTATTTCTATTAAATAATTAAATAATAAAAATAAAATAATTCAATTTTGTTATAGTTATATTTTAACATTATCATTCATTTTGCCTAACTCTGTATATACTGGACACTTTACTTAACCACGGCCTAAATAATGAAGTATTTTGTACTCTTGTAGGTAGTTTTTAAAAAAAATTCCATTTGATAGAAGATTGAGAAGTGAGTGATAAGCTTGCACTTAACTTAAATTTAGTTAATGGGGGGTGGGGGGGGGGGGGTCTAAAATCTGAAGGGTTTTGGAAACTCTGATCCAGAAATAAAGCATTTTCAAGGATGAGCTTAGATGCAAAGTTAATATTCTATACCTTAGACAGCTCATATTTATTTTTCTTATCTCTGTGATTTTGTTTTATCTTTAGATTGTCTAGTAACTGTCACATGAAGAATTCGAGATAAGGAAACTGCTGATTTTTAAATAATGAAAAAAATAAAATAAAGTAACATCTGATACAGAACCATTTTTTTTACGTAGCCGGACTTGGGATTAGTTCTTTTGTTCCATGACTGCCAGCACTTTAACTTTAAAAAATTGAACAAGGTAAGGTTTCCAGTAATTATTCATTTTTTGTTAAAATACTTCGCTAAGCTCTGCTATTAGTGTTGCTTATATTTGTCACTCAGAAAGAAAGTAAATTTTTTAAAAAAATGACTGTTAGGTATGTTTTATAAGGAGAGTAAAAACATATCAATTCCTTGGCTCCAAAAACCCATCAAATTCTTGAAACATGTGTGTAAGTTTAGCTTTTTAGCCGACACAGAAAGTAGCCAATATTCCCATATGTACTTTGTTTTGGAACATGAACTACAACATAAAGAAAACTATGTGTCATTGCAGACACAATTTTTTCGTTGGTTGGCTATTCTGTGCTTTAAAGTAGAAGCCTATGGTTCAGCTATAAATAACTGTCTAAAGATGTCATCGGAGATATCAAAGTTACCAAGTAAAGTAATAGTCTAATATCTTTGTCCAGAACAATCATCCAAACTGAAAGTTATACAAGAAAATGTTACTATTTGACTTCCATTAATTATAACTAAGTTTCACTGGTATTGCATACTTAGAGAAGTTATTAAGCTATTAATACTAAAAAGGAAATGAGTAAAACAAAGTATGGGAAAACCTGAAAAAAAGGAACACAGCAAAACAATGCATACTGTGTTACTCATTTCCTTTTTTGCTAACCTGATTGCAGCCTCTCCCCCATATCATCATAAAACTAAAAAGTAGTGTTTCAATGAATCGAGAGCAAGCAACCCACTAATAAATTGTAACTCAGAAAAATTATTTTGGGAAGTTACAGCTTGATTTAATATGACATCCTGTTCTTCGAGGGGTTGTGCTTACAATCAAGCAACAAGTGCCATCCATAAATGATGTCACATAAATTTTGCAGATTTTTTACCGCAACCCCGCCACCCCCCCCCCCCCCNNNNTACCACAATCATCACAAATTGTCACAAAAAAATTTGACCCCCCCCCCCCCCCCTCAAATATAACGTCACAAACAAACAACCTCTGGTTCCCTTCCTCCATGACATCCTGTAACTTGGACCTGGCCTACCTCTGATTCCTCACCTTCGTGACATCCTGTAACTTGGACCTGGCCTACCTCTGTTTCCCCACCTTCTTGACATCCTGTAACTTGGACCTGGCATTCCTCTGATTCAGTCTGTGATTTGTAGTTTAAAAATAAAATGTTGAATAATGTGAAAAGTATCTGTGTGTTATTAATTACAATTTTTTTTTTAAAGAATGTGATGTCACATTGCTTAACACCCCCACCCCCATCACACATCGTCACAAAAAAGTGACCCCCTGCCCTTAGAGACGTGACTTCATTTATGGATGCCCCTCAACCAGTATCACCAAATTTTTCATCATGGTCTTGTGCCTAGGAATGATGCTTTACACATTCTGTACCAAAGTTTCAACTTTCTTACTTTTTTAGGACATTGCTGAATACTTTTATTATTTTGTTTGTTTTCATTTTAAGACAGCGCTGAGGCTTCCACATCTAAAATGCTGACCAGCTTAGGCACTTACGCCAGGAACTATTTTGTGCTTGTCGGGCTACAGTTGACATTTGTGTACCCAAACTTGGCTCAGGTGCACACAATTATTGATGGGGAGCTGATAGGAATGACCAAGTCTGCCGACCCTGCTGAAGTGTGCACGTAAGTTAATAAAACAATATACATTTACATGGATAGCTCTTGCCACATTGGTCCAGCAATAGAATGCACACAGGCGAAATGGTACATTGGTCCACCAATAGGATGCACACTGGCAAAATTGCCACATTTGTCCAGCAAGAGAATGCACACAGTCGAAATTGCCACATTGGTCCAGCAATAGAATGCACACTGGCGAAATTGCCACATTGGTCCAGCAATAGAGTGCACACAGGGAAAATTGCCACATTGGTCCAGCAATAGAGTGCACACAGGCGAAAATGCCACATTGGTCCAGCAATGGAGTGCACACAGGCAAAATTGCCACATTTGTCCAGCAATAGAATGCGCACCGGCAAAATTGCTACATTGGTCCAGCAATAGAATGCATACCGGCGAAATTGCCACATTTGTCCAGCAATAGAATGCACACAGTCGAAATTGCCACATAGGTCCAGCAATAGAGTGCACACCGGTGAAATTGCCACATTGGTCCAGCAATAGAATGCACCATTCATGAGTAAGTGTAAATATAGCACACCATTCATGAGTAAGTGTAAATATAGCACACCATTCATGAGTAAGTGTAAATATAGCATACCATTCATGAGTAAGTGTAAATATAGCACACCATTCATGAGTAAGTGTAAATATAGCATACCATTCATGAGTAAGTGTAAATATAGCACACCATTCATGAGTATGTGTAAATATTGCACACCATTCATGAGTAAGTGTAAATATAGCACACCATTCATGAGTATGTGTAAATATAGCACACCATTCATGAGTAAGTGTAAATATAGCACACCATTCATGAGTATGTGTAAATATAGCACACCATTCATGAGTAAGTGTAAATATAGCACACCATTCATGAGTATGTGTAAATATAGCACACAATTCATGAGTATGTGTAAATATAGCACACCATTCATGAGTATGTGTAAATATAGCCCACCATTCATGAGTATGTGTAAATATTGCACACCATTCATGAGTATGTGTAAATATTGCACACCATTCATGAGTATGTGTAAATATTGCACACCATTCATGAGTATATGTAAATAATGCAAACCATTCTTCAATATGTGTATGTTTGGCCACCATTGGCTATATTTTATTAATAGTGTTAACTTTTTCTGTCACATTTTAGAGGTTTAAGTTAAATTTTTTTGTTCTATGTTTATTCCTTTATATACCAGTGACAAACTGCCTTCAAAGACTGCTGTTTATTAGTAGAGCAGACCTGTTTACCCTCAAACTCTTAAAATCATACAATATCATCAAACAATCGTTCAATCCATTCTCTTGATAGAAAAATAAACATACAGTAGTTATAATGTATACACCTCAAAATCGTACATTGTACACCAAAATCGTAACAGTAAACAGGTCTGGTAGAGCATAAAATTTCATTATTACTGACATGAAACCACTGAAATTTCAGATTCACTTTAGTTGAAAGTGTGCCAGAAAACCTGACCTACTCTCCCACCGACCCAAGGCTCATGTCCACTTACGCAGCTCATAAGAGATTGTTGGAGAGAGCCAAGAAAAGTATTCACCTATCCACCTTCTATTGGTCATTGCTTGGATCAGACACCCCTGTCAGTGACTACAGTGCCTCTCAGGTCAATACATTGTATAGAAAATTGTATTTATCTTGGGGCTGTCCTATTAAAACCAGTGTTCAGATTTGAGTTGTGAAAACTTGGTTTAAAGGCTGATGGCTTTAAATTGAGATGAGATGTGTATTTCGTACGAAGCAAACTCTTTAAATGTACGTACCTTTATAATACTAAACTCATCAAGATCCTTTATTTGATTAGGGAATGGAGTAGCAATGTGTTTTATTCCTGAAACTATGACATAAAAAGATGGCTGCCATTCACTGTTTATGAAAGTCTGAAAAGCAAGAGGTAATGAGTTTGAATTTGTCTGGAGTTATCCCCAGCTATTGGCGAACAACCCAAAAGAATGGATTGATTGCCGGATAGGTGGATATTCTTGGAGAGAATACTTTTTTTTAATAATCTTGCAACTGTTTACTCACTGGCAAAGCCATTTCTCTTATCATGGTCATGATTAAACCTAATGCCATTTCTCTTAACATGATCATGATTCAACCTAATGCCCATTCTCTTATCATGGTCATCATTAAACCTAATGCCATTTCTCTTAACATGGTCATGACCTACCGACAATGCTCTCCAATGCATTCACTAAATAGAATCCAAATGTAACAAATTTAAAAAAAATTTTTTATCATATCATCAGGGAGCGGATATTTTCCAAACTCTGTTGGCCGTTGTCAAAGCCGGTGTGGTTGATGTCAAAATTGTTCAAAACAGCACCTATAATGATACAGAGAAACTGGCCTCGGGTAATATTCCAAGTTAAAAAAAAAAAAAAGAAGAAGCTACAATGAAACCAAATGTTCATGTGGAGTAACATTCAGAAACCAAAATACTATGTTACCTTTCACTGCTTAGATATGGTTGACACCGTCATTTTCCTCCGACTCGGTTTCATTTTATGACCACAATCATCTTGACATTGTTCCTCTTTAATCACAGCATCTTTCTTTATGTCATTAGGTAATTTTCAAAAAAGATTTTCAAATATCATACAAGTTTTTATTCTTTCATTAAATAAAATTTCCTTTTTTTTATTTGGCAGAAAGCTTCAAAATATTTTCTTAAAAGTCAAATCCTACCCAAAAATCCCTGTCCATGTTCTTTGCTTCTGTCAGCCAAGCTCAACTCATTCTTTCAATGATCATCAAGCTGTTAGGAGGCGGCTAGGTCAAACTGTCAGCATATTACAATCTTTTCAGCTGGAGCACAAGTCAGAACCATAGACTTCCAGAGGCTCTTAAAGTCTGGTGTTATGCACACCAAGATGTGGATCGTTGATGATATGCATGCTTACTTGGGCAGCTGCAACTTTGATTGGAGATCATACTCACAGGTAGTTAGTAACATCAAAATTAAGTTTACAGGAATCAGCCTTGAGTTTATAGGAATCAGCTTTGAGTTTATAGGAATCAGCCTTGAGTTTATAGAAATCAGCCTTGAGTTTATAGAAATCATCCTTGAGTTTATAGGGATGCAAGTAAAACAGAAATGAATGAACCAGATAATTTTCTAAATAAATGTTTTTAATAATATTAATATTACATTCATTACTGGTAAATAACTTATGGTCAAGAAAATTGTTGTAGTTTTACAAACTTATTGAAAAGCTCTGATAATTTTATTAGCTTTTTTTGTTTTGCAGATAAAAGAAACGGGTGTGCTCATTGAAAATTGCCCTTCTCTAGTCTCAGATGCGGCAAAAATTTTTGAGGCAAGTTACTCGACGTTGTTCTGTCACCAATGAAAATGAAGTTGGAACTAATGTTTCAAATCTGCCAGATTCAACACTGCTATTTTGCAACCGTTTAATAATGGCTAAAAAGGTTAAAAAAGTGTGCAAAGTCTGGCTTCAGTAACTGGACAACTGTAATGGTGACAGTATACTATAATGATTTTAGCTTTCAGTTAAAAATAAGGATTGTTATTTTATAGTTCTTTTTAAATTTAAATGCAGAGATTCATTATTTCCCTTGTAAGAACACAAATAGTACAATTTGCTTACTGTTTAAGGCTTAAAGCGTATCAACATTTCTTGGCAGTGGCATGTCAGCTGGCAGTGGCATATCAGCTGGCTGCTGGCAGTGGCATATCAGCTGGCTGCTGGCAGTGGCATATCAGCTGGCAGTAGGGAGCTTGCCACCGCCATAGAATTTTTAGGAACTAAATCTTTTTTTAAAAAATTAAAAAATAAGTCTAAAAAGAATTAAAAGATCTCAAAAGAAATACTTAAATGTTTCCTGAATGCCTGCTTCTGAGGACTTTCCCCCACCAGAGGTGGTTATTAAAGTAAGAGGTAGTCATGAAATATTTATTATCATTAAAATAAGAGTCATACCTTTTGTATTTAGGTTTATTGGTACCTCTCTGATGACTCTCGTCCACAAATTCCCAGTCAGTGGCCTGCAAATTATAGCACAGACATAAATGCCACATCGCCACAGACAGTTTATTATAACCAAAGCAAGGGGTTAGTCTATCTATCAGTGAGTTCATGTTCTTTGTGTATGTTCTTCTTGCAAACACAAAAATGTAATGAACAACTAGTGTAAAGAACTACATGTATTGTAGTAATGAATTGTTTGTTTTCATTGTTTAATTGAAATATGATCAATTTTTAAAAAATTGACTCTTTGTTTAAAAATCAACATTGCCGTATTAGAAAATGATAATGCCAATAATTAATATAATATGAATTTTTTGAATACCAAATACATTAATATTAGTTAAAAAGTTAAAATCTTTATAGAGTTCTCCTCCACCGTTCTGCCCTGATGGTCGAACAAAAGATCTGGATGCCATCGTGAATGTGATTCGTGCAGCCAACAAATTTATTTACATTGCTGTCATGGATTACCTACCTTTGACTATTTATACTCGACCAGAAAAGTAAGGTTTCTAAAGTTTTTTTTTTTTATTGCAAATCATTTGGACATTCTACCTACCGATACTTGACTAATGAAACAAAGTGTTGGACTGCGATAAAGCTTTCAAATAGATTGATTAGACACCAACACAAATAGATTGATTAGACACCAACACTAATAGATTGATTAGACACCAACACCAATAGATTGATTAGACACAAAGACAAATAGATTGATTAGACACCAACACCAATAGATTGATTAGACACCAACACCAATAGATTGATTAGACACCAACACCAATAGATTGATTAGACACCAACACCAATAGATTGATTAGACACCAACACCAATAGATTGATTAGACACCAACACCAATAGATTGATTAGACACCAACACCAATAGATTGATTAGACACAAAGACAAATAGATTGATTAGACACCAACACCAATAGATTGATTAGACACAAACACCAATAGATTGATTAGACACCAACCCCAATAGATTGATTAGACACCAACAGCAATAGATTGATTAGACACCAAGGCCAATAGATTGATTAGACACCAACACAAATAGATTGATTAAACACCAACACAAATAGATTGATTAGACACCAACACCAATAGATTGATTAGACACCAAGACAAATAGATTGATTAGACACCAAGACCAATAGATTGATTAGACACCAACAGCAATAGATTGATTAGACACCAACACCAATAGATTGATTAGACACCAACACCAATAGATTGATTAGACACCAACAGCAATAGATTGATTAGACACCAAGACCAATAGATTGATTAGACACCAAGACCAATAGATTGATTAGACACCAACAGCAACAGATTGATTAGACACCAAGACCAATAGATTGATTAGACACCAACACAAATAGATTGATTAGACACCAACAAAAATAGATTGATTAGACACCAACACCAATAGATTGATTAGACACCAACTGCAATAGATTGATTAGACACCAAGACCAATAGATTGATTAGACACCAACACCAATAGATTGATTAGACACCAAGACCAATAGATTGATTAGACACCAACACCAATAGATTGATTAGACACAAACACCAATAGATTGATTAGACACCAACCCCAATAGATTGATTAGACACCAACAGCAATAGATTGATTAGACACCAAGGCCAATAGATTGATTAGACACCAACACAAATAGATTGATTAAACACCAACACAAATAGATTGATTAGACACCAACACCAATAGATTGATTAGACACCAAGACAAATAGATTGATTAGACACCAAGAACAATAGATTGATTAGACACCAAGACAGATAGATTGATTAGACACCAACACCAATAGATTGATTAGACACCAACACCAATAGATTGATTAGACACCAACAGCAATAGATTGATTAGACACCAAGACCAATAGATTGATTAGACACCAACAGCAACAGATTGATTAGACACCAAGACCAATAGATTGATTAGACACCAACACAAATAGATTGATTAGACACCAACAAAAATAGATTGATTAGACACCAACACCAATAGATTGATTAGACACCAACTGCAATAGATTGATTAGACACCAAGACCAATAGATTGATTAGACACCAACAGCAATAGATTGATTAGACACCAAGACCAATAGATTGATTAGACACCAAGACCAATAGATTGATTAGACACCAAGACCAATAGATTGATTAGACACCAAGACAAACAGATTGATTAGACACCAAGACCAATAGATTGATTAGACACCAACACCAATAGATTGATTAGACACCAACACCAATAGATTGATTAGACACAAAGACAAATAGATTGATTAGACACCAACACCAATAGATTGATTAGACACAAACACCAATAGATTGATTAGACACCAACCCCAATAGATTGATTAGACACCAACAGCAATAGATTGATTAGACACCAAGGCCAATAGATTGATTAGACACCAACACAAATAGATTGATTAAACACCAACACAAATAGATTGATTAGACACCAACACCAATAGATTGATTAGACACCAAGACAAATAGATTGATTAGACACCAAGACCAATAGATTGATTAGACACCAAGACCAATAGATTGATTGGACACCAACAGCAACAGATTGATTAGACACCAAGACCAATAGATTGATTAGACACCAAGACCAATAGATTGATTAGACACCAACAGCAATAGATTGATTAGACACCAAGACCAATAGATTGATTAGACACCAACACCAATAGATTGATTAGACACCAAGACCAATAGATTGATTAGACACCAACACCAATAGATTGATTAGACACCAAGACCAATAGATTGATTAGACACCAAGACCAATAGATTGATTAGACACCAACACCAATAGATTGATTAGACACCAAGACCAATAGATTGATTAGACACCAACACCAATAGATTGATTAGACACCAAGACCAATAGATTGATTAGACACCAAGACCAATAGATTGATTAGACACCAACACCAATAGATTGATTAGACACCAAGACCAATAGATTGATTAGACACCAAGACCAGATGACTTCCACATTTTCCTTGATCCATCACGGCTGTCAACCAACCAAACCTCCTTGAATCTGGGCTACATGTAAAGCTGGTATTTTGCCTATCTGGCTGTCAACCAACCAAACCTCCTTGAAGCTGTACCACATGTAAAGCTGGTATTTTGTCTATCTGGCTGTCAACCAACCCAACCTCCTTGAATCTGTGCTACATGTAAAGCTGGTATTTTGTCTATCTGGCTGTCAACCAACCCAACCTCCTTGAAGCTGTGCTACATGTAAAGCTGGTCTTTTGTCTATCTGGCTGTCAACCAACCCAACCTCCTTGAATCTGTGCTACATGTAAAGCTGGTATTTTGTCTATCTGGCTGTCAACCAACCCAACCTCCTTGAAGCTGTGCTACATGTAAAGCTGGTATTTTGTCTATCTGGCTGTCAACCAACCAAACCTCCTTGAAGCTGTGCTACATGTAAAGCTGGTATTTTGTCTATCTGGCTGTCAACCAACCCAACCTCCTTGAAGCTGTGCTACATGTAAAGCTGGTATTTTGTCTATCTGGCTGTCAACCAACCAAACCTCCTTGAAGCTGTGCTACATGTAAAGCTGGTATTTTGTCTATCTGGCTGTCAACCAACCCAACCTCCTTGAAGCTGTGCTACATGTAAAGCTGGTATTTTGTCTATCTGGCTGTCAACCAACCAAACCTCCTTGAAGCTGTGCTACATGTAAAGCTGGTATTTTGTCTATCTTTTTGTACAAATGTCCTGATATTAATAAACTTCTGTCACAAATCCTGTTTAAATATTACTTAAGGTAACAGGGAGGGGATGACATGACAACTAACTTTAGGTTTAATTAATGATGAAATACCTCGCTCCTGTTGTTGGCCCATTTTGTACAATAATTATTTTGCTGATTTATTGCAGATAGCTATAGCACCTAATTCTTGACCATTAAAATTAACAAGTATAAATTAATACTTTATCAGTGCTTATTATAGCGGCTGAAACTTCCATAAACTTTTTTTTTTTTTTACGTCTCTGCTGCCATTCCCATAAATTAGTTTGCTGCATCTTGACTTCAGTGTGAATATCATTTTACTTCTGTCAGTACAGCAGAACTGCCATGGACATCTTTCTACTCCTTTAGCCTCATTTCTCCCTACTCCCTTAGCCTAGGTTCTCTCTACTCCCTTAGCCTCATTTCTCTCTACTCCCTTAGCCTCATTTCTCTCTACTCCCTTAGCCTCATTTCTCTCTACTCCTTTAGCCTCATTTCTCCCTACTCCCTTAGCCTAGGTTCTCTCTACTCCCTTAGCCTCATTTCTCTCTACTCCCTTAGCCTAGGTTCTCTCTACTCCCTTAGCCTCATTTCTCTCTACTCCCTTAGCCTCATTTCTCTCTACTCCCTTAGCCTCATTTCTCTCTACTCCCTTAGCCTAGGTTCTCTCTACTCCCTTAGACTAGGTTCTCTCTACTCCTTTAGCCTCATTTCTCTCTACTCCCTTAGCCTCATTTCTCTCTACTCCCTTAGCCTAGGTTCTCTCTACTCCCTTAGCCTAGGTTCTCTCTACTCCCTTAGCCTCATTTCTCTCTACTCTCTTAGCCTCATTTCTCCCTACTCCCTTAGCCTAGGTTCTCTCTACTCCCTTAGCCTCATTTCTCTCTACTCCCTTAGCCTCATTTCTCTCTACTCCCTTAGCCTCATTTCTCTCTACTCCCTTAGCCCCATTTCTCTCTACTCCCTTAGCCTAGGTTCTCTCTACTCCCTTAGCCTAGGCACTCTCTACTCCCTTAGCCTCATTTCTCTCTACTCTCTTAGCCTCATTTCTCTCTACTCCCTTAGCCTCATTTCTCTCTACTCCCTTAGCCTCATTTCTCTCTACTCCCTTAGCCTAGGTTCTCTCTACTCCCTTAGCCTAGGTTCTCTCTACTCCCTTAGCCTCATTTCTCTCTACTCTCTTAGCCTCATTTCTCTCTACTCCCTTAGCCTCATTTCTCTCTACTCCCTTAGCCTCATTTCTCTCTACTCCCTTAGCCTCATTTCTCTCTACCTTAGCCTAGGTTCTCTCTACTCCCCTAACCTTTCACTTTCTCAAGTGGTTCACTAGATTATAAGCTTGTCTATGCTATAACAGCTTTGGCATCACTTCATAATCCTGGCATCACTTCATACTCCTGGCATCACTTCATACTCCTGGCATCACTTCATACTCCTGGCATCACTTCATACTCCTTGAATCACTTCATACTCCTGGCATCACTTCATACTCCTTGAATCACTTCATACTCCTGGCATCACTTCATTCTCCTTGAATCACTTCATACTCCTGCCATCACTTCATACTCCTGACTTTTCCAGTGCTTAAATTTTTGTAAGGCTTGTTTTGCCTTGAACACACACGGTCATTTAACACAGTGGTTCCCAAACTTTTAAATTTGGCGGACCGGTGAAAAAGTTTTGAAATTTTACCAGGGACCGGTGCATGATTTATTTTTATACTTTTATTTCTATTTGACAATAAATATTTATGTTATGGGGGCCGGCAGCGTTAGGCATGCGGACCGGTGAAGGTCCACGAACTGCCATTTGGGGACCACTGATCTAACACACACAGTCATCTAACCCACACGGTCATCTAACACACATGGTCATCTATCTTGCGAGTATACAGAACCTACGCAATTCCTGTCAATCAAACCTTTTTACCATACCATTCACCATTGCTCATGCTCATTGCACAGTAAAAAATGTTTTGCCTGTAACACACTACACACAGCCTGTAACACACTACACACATAATGTAATACACTACACACAGGATTGTGTTATGAGCAACTGTCAAATTGTTCAGAATGATTTTGCTTCTAGTTATATTATTCATGGTGCAAAGGAAGACTGGAGTTCAAATCAATTTTCATTTGAATAAAATTTCTTATATAAATAAACTAATTGGTCTAGAAGCATGAATAAATACAGAATTATTTTACCTCTGTTTTTATTTATGCTGCAACTGCAAAGAAATATTTATTTGTGCGGCATATTCATTAAAATTCATTCATATAAATTTCAAAATAACTTCCAAGACAAGTAACTGCCACAAAAATCTATAAATTATCTGATTGTAACTGTAACTGTATATAGAAAAGAAACACTAATCATTTCACGTTTTCAGCAGGGCTTTACAAATGTAATAACTTTGTCTGTATCCAACTTTTGGATAGAGAAGTTGTCAGTTTATTAGTAAGATGCCGTCCCGGACATCCATTGGTCCTAAACAAAAAAAATTTTTAAAATTCAATTTGTGAAATTGTCTATGTTAAATTTCTCTTAATGTGCTATAATAATAGCTTAAAGACTCAGCAACCTTTTTCTGCTAGGCCATTGAAATGAGAAAAAAAGATGCCTTATGGCCACGTCTGCTGATGGGTTTCAACCAAGTTAAGGCGCATGTTACCATTAGAAGCTGTTTCCTGTTGTCCCATTAACAGTAGCAGTAGTTCTCAGTGGGATGGGCAAATGTTCCATTGTTCCATCCAACTACAGAAGTAAAATATTCTATTTTATATAAGCATTAATGAGTGCATTATTTCACAGCAAGAGGGTTGTAACATTTGTCATGTATCCGCAGTTAGAAATCCTGTCACCAGGTTATTTCCCTGAGAATATTTCACTTAACTCATGACGCTGTCACCAGTGCATACGAGAGTTGTTTGGAGTTAAATCTTGTAGGGAATGTCCTGTTCTGGTGTGTCATAAATTTTTATTTTATTTGTTGCCATAATAAAATAAGTACAGATACTTCCCTTCCTCACATGTGCCTGTAGAATACCGGGCCTATACCTAGTCTTAAGGGCATGCTGGGAAGTAAATCACAAACCTTTGCCGCGGGTTGCTGTTCATGTGAGGAACATAAATAAAACTGGGAACTGCTCATGAATATTTTGAATGAAAAGGACATTTGAACTCATTTCATTTTGTGCTTTTTCTCTTGTACATGCGTTTTGTATGAAAGAAATTTGGAAAAATTCACCAAAATTACATTTTTCACATAAGCACAGTACATATTATAACTTAACATTTTCTAATAGGACATTCCTTTTAACTTATAGTATCTCAAACTTGATGTGATGAAAGATAGAAAAAAATACTGAGTACGTTTATTGGGATGGGTTTGAATGCAACAGTGGAGAAGTAAAATTTTATTCAACGTGTAAAGGTCAAGGTCAACTTACATGATATAAAACAAATTGTTTTTCATACCATGTGATTCCTTGTCCAATTTACTTTCAGAAATGTACACTTGGTAAGGGACCCAGAAATAAATTTTGTATAGGACATAGTTATTTTGGACAAGCATATTGAAATACTAAAAACAGCTTGACGTCACAGAGCAGATGCCCTTGACATTAATTTATAGGGTTAATGTCAGGTATGGTCTTAACCACAACCAGGCAACCTTCATTTATCGTGAAGACGTGTCAATTGTTTGAAATTTATTTTATACTCTCCTTCACGTTTCAGAGAGTTGTCCCAACTGTAAATCTGAACATTTCCCCATGTACTCTTTTGGTATCAGGTTCTGGCCGTTCATCGACGATGAGCTGAGACGAGCAGCTTTTGAGCGACATGTCAGCGTCTATCTCATGGCCAGTAGATGGGACCACACAAAGTATGAGATGTACCCATTCCTGAGGTCGCTCAATAGTCTTAAAGGCCAAATGGATGTACAAGTGGTAATTTAAAATTTAAAAAAAATTTTTTTTTTGGTAGCGTAGGAAATGATGTTTTTTTTTTTTTGGTAGTGTAGGAAATAATATGTATGTAAACTAAGGTGTAATTGTAATGGTAAACTACGGTATAATGGTAAACTAAGGTGTAATGGTAAACAAAGGTGTAATGGTAAACTAAGGTGTAATGGTTGTTCATAATAAATATCATGAAAAGCTAGAGGAAGTTTGCTTCTGAATGGGATTAGAAGCACTTGCCTTGTATCATAGAGCTTATGACATTTGTACTTGCCTTGTATCCTAGTGCTCATCTCATGACATGTGTACTTGCCTTGTATCATAGTCCTCATGACATTTAATTTTTTTTTTTAGAAACCTCTTGTTTGTGACATTTATGTTAAGTGTGATGGTAATGACAGACTTCCTTTTTCATTAAGAAACTGTTCACTGTGCCGAGCACACCAGAAGAAAAGCGGATCCCTTATGCACGTGTCAGTCACAGCAAGTACATGGTTACAGACCAACATGCTTACATAGGTAATTATAATTACTTCTGTTTTCAAATAAAGCCATGATGAACAGACAACATCAGTGATGTTGAGACAACATCAGTGATGAATTAGGTGATGTTAACTGTAACAGATTACTTCAGAGATTTCATGAAAAGAATTTTATGGTTTTATGGATGAGAGCCTCCACATAAAATAATTGCAGATTTGATGGTGATTTTATTTAATCTAACGATGCTTACACTTTTAGCCATTTTAAGTTATCCTAAATTCTGGTTCCTGTTCATACATAAGTTGCTCCCCCTAGTTTAGGACGGGAAGAAGCATGAAAAGTGTATGAAGCGCTCATGATCCGATCTCATAATTTAATAGGCCAGTTTGGCCAATTCTGTACTGAAAAAATTTCAGAAATGTGTAGCTTTCATGCGTTGCAATCAGCTTTTATTATTCAGTTATTATTATTACATCAAGGGGATAGTACACCATCCACTCCCGGTTTTACCAATAATTAAAGCTTCTGGTAACAAGTTTGAATCTTGTAGAGAGTTGGGTTGACTAGGATCTTGGCCAACTTCAGTAACAATTTCGTTATATAATGTACTTGGAGAAAATTATAAAAATCTCATCACCCCACTTATAAGCTGACCACATCATTTGACCCTCTTGTGCTGATCAACCGACTGACTTATTGCCTTGACATATTTTCTTTTAAGTCGGCTTTAGAACAAATATAATCTAATAATTGATACCGGTATTATTTGTAGAGATTTATTCAATCCTGATTACGTTATTATTATTTAGTACCAAGCTCCCATATGGGAAATGTAAAAATCACAGCGAAATTTTTAGGGGGGGGGGGGGGGGGCTTGCACATCACTTAATTTTTTATACTCTCAGGCACGTCCAACTGGTCTGGAGACTATTTTATAAGTACTGCTGGAGTTGGCTTTGTCCTGCAAGAGCCAGATGACGGTCTTCAAAACAGCAACACTTTGAGAGAGCAACTGACAGCCGTCTTCCTCAGAGACTGGCACTCTAATTACACTGAATACGTCCGCAGCAATTAACAGTAGCAGTGACATGTATTCATGTATTACTAACTTTACCTCATATAAGTAATTATAAGTTTAATGTTTATCATTCATTGGTTTAACATATAATAAAGAAAAAAAAAGGAAATCTTCTTTCATTTCAAATGTATTATTATTCCATTCAAAAGTGTGTCAGTCAAACTGATCAACATATGAACTTGAAAAAATGGTGTATAAATATAGAATATGAAATGTAACATCCTTAGATTCATTTTTATAAGTTCACATTACGTGTGCCGGTACTTGCACTTAAATTTTTGTTTACAAAAAAAAACAAAAAATGTATGAATTTTGTGTGAAGAAAAAATTAACTAAACATTTCAATTCAGCTTAGGAAACAACTGTTAAAAAACAACAACACAGTAGCATATCATATTGATTATCAATTGACAAAAAGATCTGCTCCTCTTACATTCACTATGCAATCCACACTAACGTATTGAGTGACATTATATTTTATCAGCTCCTCTTGCATTCACTGCAAAAATCATGATGTCCCACCCACATCACAGCAGTGTTAACAAATTGTGCCTTCTTTTCATGATTACAATGTCCAACTTTTCTAAAAAATTATCATTATGTTTGTCTTCATTTAAGGAAGAAAAAAAATGAAATCTCACAGTTTTTCTATGCCGTCGGAATCTGGACAAATACTTTTTGAAAACTTTTATGACTGAAATTCATGTTGTTTTTAGCTTCATCAAGTTGAGTAGAAAATTAATTAAGAGACATACAGTGTCAAAGGGATATAATTACTGCTCAAACAATATTTCCCAATGTTTGTTCATATGCCTCATAATCAGAAAGTAATGTGTTTAAATGTAACTCTAGCCATAAATAAGCAAATGGCTCGATTGGAATGAAATCATCTGACCAACTATTGAACTATACTTGGGGAAGAGGAAAACCTAGATTTGAAAAAAAAAATGGAGGACTAGAACCAGCTTATTGGGTCTGGACAAACTCTCCTTACACAAGGGTTTGAAAATTGAATGGGTAAAATAAAAGCTTGTTTACAGTACAGCATTTTATTTTCCTGTGTTTTTTAACAAGGGTCATTCAAAATGTATCGGTATCTAATTTCTGCTTGAATAAAAGATGCTTTAAAATTAAAATATTTTTTATAACAATCACTTTTAAACAGTCTTTCACCACAATCAATAAACATTGAGACTTGTAATCTATATCGAAAGGCACTTGACAAGCTAGGATTAAAAAATAATTATACTATACACCTACAGAAAATTTCAATTTAGTGCATAAGAATAATAAGTATTACCGGTAGCAAACTGCAAGGCTATTTTATTTCAGTTGAGCATTAAATTAAACATAATCATGTAAGTAGTAAAGAAGTAGAAGTCATATCAAATTTATTATTTTTAACTACCAGTATTTAATTAGAGGCGGGATGACCCATTCAAATGGCTTTACCGGCGTGTCAAATCTTCTAAGCCGCAAGTCATTACTCCTATCAAATAAACACTAAATAAACCAAGTACAATTTATTTATTTTTATTCTTAATGACTTTATGCACATTATTCTCAAATGAAAACACTTCTACACGTGCCACCACACACATAAATAAACAGTATAGATTTTAATGTACCGGTAAATATAACTCTAATATATATATATATTTATATTAATATATATTTATTATTATAGACTGAAACATGTTGGTCAAAATATGTGAGACGTGGGTGGGGGAGCAGAAATCTAGGACGCCAACCGAAGGCTCCCCAGCGAAAGACGAGAGGTTAGGGATGGGGCTAACCCCCACCCAAGAATATTTTATTAGAAATTCAAAATGCAATGATGCATTTTATGGCATACCGGTACCTGAAGTTAGTTTTGCATCATTCCTTTAATTGGAGAGCAAAAGAATAAATTTTAGTGTAAATAAGAGTGCCCATGGACCTGGTTGGTTTGTACCGCAGTAGGTACGGCAGTAAATATTAATTTTTTTATAACTTTTCTTTGAGATTACGGCACTAGTTTGAATTTATTTTATTTTTTAAATCAGATAAAAAATAAGGGCTGGTATGCCTTACAAGCACGTACCATCACAAAAAAAAAGCGCAAGCAGAACAAAGAAACACGTTCATTTTAAAACATTTATATGCCACATGCAGACCGCCGCTTAGTGACCCCTCAATTAGAATTAGTCTCATTTATTTCACCCAACTGCATATTTCAGCAAAAGTGTAATTTGTTTGCTATCGTTTAACCACTGTTATTGTCACACCATCTCTAAAAATAAAATTTTTAAAAACTTAAAACTAATATGACAACTTTATGCATAATAATACACTCAAGTTCAAGTCAGACACTTCCATCAGAACCCTAAATTTGAAATTAACATTTATGTTCTCTGCCCTAGGTTTTCATTCCGTCCAAGAACAGTTTTTGGTATATCTTTTTTAGATTTTAAGGATACAACAAGGGTAGGATCAACTAAATCAGACTCCTTCAATGTTCGTTCATCTCTTTCTTCTTGTATACTTTTATCTTTAAAAGGGCTATTTTTGTCTTTGCGGATTGTCCATTCCAAATTATAACCAATAAATCCCACTATAGCAGCAACAGGAAGGGTGATATATGGTGCATATACTCGAGCAGCATTGAAGATAAGGTTCCACATTTTTTTAGTTACCGGATTTGATCAAAGTTTATCAAAAACTTAAATAAGAATCCAAAGAAATGATCTCGAGGACAATGACATGGTCAGTCTGGTCAGTGAGCTGTAACGAAAAAACAGAGTAAAAGGTTTTTAATCATTTCTTTAAATATTTATACATTTTATTAGCTATTGCAAATCTGTAACAGTAACTAGTTTGAGATACAAAAACTTCTATTTATTTGTGAGAGTGCAACCAATTTTAACGATAAATAAATGAAACCCATTCTGAAAAGTGGGGAAATTATAACACATGCTGGCGTCACTCATTTTATCCTCTGCTCATTTTAATTAAATAATTACTGATAAGTTGGCGCATATATTAATCTGCTAATCCTGTTTGGCCTATTACATTAGCCTATTAGCTAACACTAACTGGCAGATAGAAAAATGTTAGATGTAAATTTAGGTGGTTTTATTACAATCTTTGATGTTTGTATAATACTAAGCAGTTGAGAAACTTTATTGTTATAGTGGTAATACCTAATTATAAAATGCCATTAACTATATAAGAAGTTTGGCAACCAGGTAGTTCAAGTATATTAAATATTGAACGTATTTAACATGACAGAGGGCATAACTCAGAAATATGGTGACCCAGGACCAAAATCGAAACCGGAAGATAATAGTTTAAGTTTAAAAAAATAAAAAGTATGGTATGAGGCAGGGCTGCCACTCACTTTTTTAAAATTTCCCAAGATTTGGTGAGCAAATTTCCCAAGATTTCCCAAGATCATAAAAATATATAAGAGTTTTTTTTTAAAGTGGGGTTTTCTATGTAGTTAATGTAATAATAGATTGAATCTATGCCCCTGAAAAACATGGTACATTAATTGACTGAAATTTATTGAAAAGGACATTTAAAAAATGTTTATCACATAAAAAAGCAAAACAATTTGTTTAAAAAAATAACTTATAATTCAAAATATCAATACCCACTGGAGTTAGGCTACTAAATATTACCTCCGAATTCCCTGGTAAAAATATCATCTACAATACATGTGTAATAGAAGTCACTTGGAAAAAAGCTTACAAGGCTAATCAACACAGAATTCCTTTTACAAAGGCAAGAGGTTCTTCATCAAAAAATGATTTTTATTATTGTAAATCTGTTGATTAGAAGTGTGGTTTGCAAAGCAATTAAGCAAATTTATTAATAATAATTGTAGTTAAAATGGATTGATATTAATATTATGATGAAAACAATAAGTATTTTTTTCTTGTAAATTTACTTTATAACGATTTTTTCAACAAGAAAAAACTTTTAAAGGAATTGTTCATTTATAATCCTACAACGTAGGCCTATACTTTTAATATTTTAGTTACCTGTGTGTTTCAATCCACAAATATTTTTTTCTAATTGATGAAAATTAGGCTGCATTTTTTTACAGATGCATTATATTTTGAACACATTGTAGAAGTAATTGAAATAATCAAATTTTACTATGGCATGGATTCTTGATTGAACACTATCGTTCACTCTTTGGCTTGTACTGTTTTTGTATTGTTGCTAATGTCTAAGAGCATAATGATAAAGTTTCCGAGCCTACCCCTCACCCCCTCCCATTTAATAAACATTCAAAACCTGGATGTAATTTGTAAATCTTCAATTTTTTTTTTTTAAAGAGAAAATTGAATTTTTTTTTAAAATTATTAACTTTTTAATAATTCACAATATTAACTTTAAAATCAGAAGAGTTTTTATTTATTTTATGAGTGGATTTAAAAATTAAAACCAGAAAAGAAAATGAAAACAATTAATTTTTTGCCTTGTTACTTTAAAAATTATTTTGCTTTATTTTTACTTTATTTTTTATCAGATATTGTTGCGTTTTTTTCGAAAAATATAACAAAATTTTCCCCCCAGTTAAGATTTCCCAAGGTTTTGCCTGATTTTCAAAATTATTCCCCAGATCCCAAGGGGGGTCGTGAATTCCCAAGATCTTGGGAAATTTCCCAAGGTGTGGTAGCCCTGGTATGAGGAAGTAAATGTGCACCTTTTTGGAAAAAAAATGTTACTTGAACTGTTGAACTGGTAACAACAAAATTATGTTTATGTGTTTAAACTTAACCAAATAATTAGACTTAACCTAAATATAGAGGTTTCAAAACTCAAGAAGATACGAATAAATGCATAGCAATTTTGTGTTGAATAAACCTACACTGTTTTTTTTTTCCAATGGAGGTTGCATGGCAATGTAGTGAAAATTTGTTTTATTTGAATTATTTTGTTTTACCATATACTATAGTGTTGTGCGTTCAAAAAGAAATTTGACGACAATTTTAACGTGTGAATTGAAAAAAAAATTCGACCAAATTTCCGTTCCATCAAATTTCCGTCTATCAATTTTCCGTCGACGAAATTTCTTTCGATCAAATCTCCGGTAACTATGAAAATGTAGGCTTTTATACATACCGGTAATAGTAAAGGGATGAGATTTACTGATCGTTTGTTGTAATGTACCGTTCTGGTGTTTCACATTTTTTTCGGAAAAGACTTATACTAAACTAGGATTTGGTTTTTATTAAAAAGATTATTTTATGGAAAATTTACATATTAAGATTATCACATTAAAAAGTAAAAGGAGCAAAAAAAAAATTAAAAATAAAATCTCTCGAAAATAAGAGTTAGAGCATTAAAAAAAAAAAAAAGAAAATACTTTTCTTAAAATTTCTTAAATTAAGTCTGTGCAGAAAAAAAATTTAAGATTTCCCTATATTTAACTGGAAGCCTTTGGCTTCATACTAAACTTCTGCACATACCTTCTTTGCATAGTGACTTTAAAAAAAAGTTATATATGAAGAATTTGTATCACTGCCAGTTGATTATTCAGTCTATACACATGTGCTTCGCAGTGCAACTGGGAACAAGATCCTGTTACGAGGCGTAGAGCTGGGTTGTATTGGTATACCTTTACAACTTACTGAGCTCGAGTCAGATCTAATACCAGGACCTGCGGTTGTGGGTGTCCGACCAACGCTATCAAATGGACGGCATCGCGTTGCTTCTGGGAAATAACTTAACTGGTGGGAAAGGTGATAGCCAAAAAAATCATCGCTACTCGTGAACCTGTTCAAATGAACCTCAATAAGAGGATCCAGAGTTATATCCAGCATGTGCTGTTACCAGGGCATTAAGTTTAAAGATCTCAGAAAAAGAGATTCCACCAAAAATTAATAAAGTCAATCTTGATGTTGATCTGGAAACAAGATTTTTCGCAAGTCTCAATGAAGAGTCAGATCACAAGACACCAACTCGGATGCAACTAGATCTAACTGAAGAGCAGAAAAAAATGATCCAGAAATGGCTTGAGTTCGAGAGAACGCTTTGAGCCAAGAACAAGCTTATCATATTCCTGTATGCTACTACCTACAAGATGACATGCTTATGAGAAAGTGGCGACCCCCAGACGCAGCAGCTGAACAAGAATGGGGGGGGGGTAGTCAATCAAATGGTAGTTCCCATCCCTTTCCAGAACGACATTCTGAGCTTAGCCCATGTCTCACAACTTTAATTTTATCATATTCCTGTATGCTACTACCTACAAGATGACATGCTTATGAGAAAGTGGCGACCCCCAGACGCAGCAGCTGAACAAGAATGGGGGGGGGGGTAGTCAATCAAATGGTAGTTCCCATCCCTTTCCAGAACGACATTCTGAGCTTAGCCCATGTCTCACAACTTTAATTATTCACCACTTAGATTACTCACCACATTCTTGACTCACCAATTTCTTCACTCACCACTTTCAATACTCATCAATTTCGTTACTCATCCTTTTCATTACTCATCCTTTTCATTACTCATCCTTTTCATTACTCTCCACTTTCATTATTCACCACTTTCATTACTCACCACGTACCACAGTTTTGAATCACCACTTTCATGACTCACAATTTTCATGACTCACCACTTCCATGACTCACCACTTTCATGACTCACCACTTCCATGACTCACCAATTTCATGACTCACCACTTTCATGACTCACCACTTTCATGACTCACCACTTTCATGACTCACCACTTCCATGACTCACCACTTTCAGGCCATTTGAGAACGAAGACGACTTATAACAAAATAACACCGCACTTCTTTTGGCCCCATGGAAAGAAAGATGTCATCGATGACTGCTGGTCCTGTCCTACTTGTTCATGCTTAGAAATGAAGCATTCCAGCAATAATATTGTTAGCGTCATAAATGTGTGATTAGAATAAGAGTCACAAGTGATAATTTTTTGGACAATCCAATAGCACAGTGAAAGTTAGACTTGTGAGGCTGATGGGAACACAGTGAAACTGAGACTTGTGAGGCTGATGGGAAAACAGTGAAACTGAGACTTGTGAGGCTGATGGGAACACAGTGAAACTGAGACTTGTGAGGCTGATGGGAACACAGTGAAACTTAGACTTGTGAGGCTGATGGGAACACAGTGAAACTTAGACTTGTGAGGCTGATGGGAACACAGTGAAACTTAGACTTGTGAGGCTGATGGGAACACAGTGAAACTTAGACTTGTGAGGCTGATGGGAACACAGTGAAACTTAGACTTGTGAGGCTGATGGGAACACAGTGAAACTTAGACTTGTGAGGCTGATGGGAACACAGTGAAACTTAGACTTGTGAGGCTGATGGGAACACAGTGAAACTTAGACTTGTGAGGCTGATGGGAACACAGTGAAACTTAGACTTGTGAGGCTGATGGGAACACAGTGAAACTTAGACTTGTGAGGCTGATGGGAACACAGTGAAACTTAGACTTGTGAGGCTGATGGGAACACAGTGAAACTTAGACTTGTGAGGCTGATGGGAACACAGTGAAACTTAGACTTGTGAGNGTGGTAATCAGTGTAGTAAGTTGACAAACTAGGGTTTTGTTCTGACTAATAAGTGATGATCAGTGTAGGATAAGATGCTTATATTGATCTAAATAACAGGGCATCGCTATTGATTGTATTGAATACACTGTTTTCAGTCTTAAAAGTCGTCGAGTCTTGGTTGTGCCATGAGTTGCCTTAATATGAAACGTCATAGGATCCATTCAGT